AGGAGGGATGAGCAGAAGATGTGATAATATGGCCTTCAGCTTTTGGTGTCGGGAGAACAACCACCCAGTGATCTGTATCTTGTTTGGGTGGAAATATGGTGTTAATTATCCTCATGACAGATAGATGTGGCAATTCATTTCAGCTGCTTTAGATCATACATTCCTCTGGCTGGTAGACCTCCAGAAAACAGAGAAAGAGATCTTGGGGGTGAAGGAAGGAATGCCATAATAAGGACAGATGTCACTGTGAAATTTCAGTGTTGAGTTCTGCAGGGACTTAGGTTTAGATACCATCAGTGTGATGTTTTTATTCTTCCAGTCTGTTCAGCTGAGCCTGTGTCATGTAAATGCAAACTTCCTCTTAAATTCAGAGGCTAAAAGGCACATCAATTAATTGGTGTTATTGCTCATTATGAATAGTCAATGCTGATTCTCCAGCCTCTCTGCTTGTTCATATTTGTAGGAATCTTCAAACTGAGAACTGTCTTTGTTTCCTTCAACTACTCCTCATCTGGGTTTTCTGACCAGTCACTGACCATGTGCCCTTCTGACTGGAGACCAATAACAAATGGCAAATGCATCAATAAATGCACATGACCTGCTCAGGTCCCATGAACAATGAAACACAAACAGTGGCACAGGAGCCCTCCAGCCACCTGCCATCCCAAGGATGGCGATTTCTCAGTCATTCTGTAATCACTCCAAGAAGCCTCAGTGAGATCTGCATTCCACTGTCTTAGTTGTTAAAACAGAATTAAAACCCAGTAAATGACATGGAGTTTACAAGCTCAGCACTGAATGGAAGCCCTGATTCTAACAAGATGTTAAAATATTGTACCAACTTGAACAACTGTTATCTACACAGATGATGGCCAACCCCCTCCAACTATTACTGAGCAACAGAAAAGGTTTAACCATAGAATGTAAGTAAAAAATAGCCAAAATTGAGAAGAAAAACCTATTCCCTATATGAGAAAATGCAAGTTTTTCAATCTCACTTTTTTAAAGTCTGAATGCAGGATCTCTGTGTGTCGCCTCAGTACTAAAGCTCTACTAGGAATGGCTCAGAATAACATATCACAGCACTGCAAACTTGCTTCTCAGTGATGCTCACCTCTGCAAACCCAAAACTCATACCAGGGCTTCATGCTGGGATTCTTTCTGAGGTTATTTCAGTCAATGCCTTTGTCTTGAAAAAAACCCTACAGTTTAACACCACAAAGACAACCTGATCCATCGCCTTCCACCACACTTTAAGGCTTCTTACAAAGTCTGTGGCAGAAAAGTTGGGAAAATTTCCGATTCTTTGAAACTTTTTAAGTTATTCTGACAACTTTTCAAAACTGACCTCAGTGTCTCTCAGCTTGGTCAGCAAGAAGGGAGTGCACAGATCTCACCAGCACATCCGGCTCCCCACTGATCACAAATTGGGCTGCTGAGAGTGCCATGGGGCTGCTCAGCACAGACTGGCCTGGTGGGACTGACACCTAACTGTGCCTGTGACATCACCCAGAGAGCCTCTTGCTGTGGGTACTCACTTTTCACTGAGCTCTTAAAAAAATCAGTGGTTACCACAAATGAACTCAAGAGCAACGATTACTTTCCAACAGCAACTATGTGAGCGCAAAAATGCTCCAGTGACTGTGAAGGGAGGCCAGAGCAATCACCACTGTGACCATCTCACACACTGTTTCTAGAGGACAGCCAGAGTAGAGCACTCTACATATGAGCACAACCCACATTTGGATTAAATTGTGAGCTGAGACTTTGAGACTTGCAGATGAGGCTCCTTCCTTATCACTTGCTGTGGTGTGAAGACTCAGCAGTTCTGTGCTGCACCTGGCCTGACCTCCTTTTTCCCCCCACTGATTTATTTAGCTTTCTCCTCTCTTCCTAGGCTCTGTCTCTCATTTTGTATCACAGATACCAGCAATTCTGGCTGATCACACTCAGTGGAATTGAGTGTATCTGGTCTGCTTTCTGTAAGGTCCAAGGATAAGGTCCTGTCCCTTAGAAATGGATGTTTAAGCCTTGACTTGAGCCAAGAGCTGAGATTAAAATTCAGCTTGAGAACAGAAGGTCTGGCATTATTTTGCATTTCTTAATAAAATGTTTCCACTGTTCTAGTTATTTACTCTCCTCTGTGGAGCACCCAGTGCTGACTAGGCAAGGGCTATCCATTAAAGGCTGTCTCTCCTCTCAGCTTAAAAGGAAGTTCCCTCTCTTTGACGGGAAGAAGGTAAGAGAAATTAATTTTTCTTTCAGCATCGCCACACCTGGGGAAAGGATCTTGCTCACAGATAACAGTGCAAGCAAATATTTTCTTTGGGAGAAAAAGAGAAAGTGAAGATCAAGGTCAGAGGAGGCAAGAGTGAAGATATGAGACTGCCTTCAAAATAACCTTCCATAGAACGTGTGGGGGTGTCATTTTATTTAATACGGAAAACATGCAAAAGCACAAAGGAGGGGTGACTGGCTTGGGGTTTACAGAGAGATAAAGGGGCTGCAAAGTCTGGCTGCACAGATATGCTGAATTGCAGCAGTACAGGATGCAACAAACAGGGAGATGTGAACAGGTTGAGAGAGACTCCCTTTACCTCTACACATTTATATAAGTAGGAGCATGGCCCAACACCTCTGTCCCTGACTTTCCTGAAGCATCTTCCCTTCCTTCCTGCTTAGGGACTTAAAAAGACTGTGGCTACTCTTTGCACAAGGTGCTAATGAAAAATTCATATTGCTTTTGTCTCTACCAGATAACCACAAGCCTGTGCAGAGTCTCAGTGAATTTTTTTGCATCTCAAGGTGTGGGCCCAGCAGCAGCCTCTGAATCTGCAGGGCCTCCCATCCCCAGGGGATCCAGATCAGTGCTGTGCCCTAGGTGTATTATGATAAAAAAATCATCTCACTTCTCAACATTTCAAACACATGCAGAAGTCTTGAATCACACAATCACAACATGGTTTGGGTGGGAAGGAACCTTAAAGATCATCTTGTTCCATCCCCTGCCATGAGCAGGGACAACTTCCATCAGACCAGGTTGCTTCCAAGCCTGTCCAGCTTGGCCTTGAAAACTCCCAGGGGTGGGGCAGCCACAGCTTCTCTGGGCAACCTGTGCCAGGGCCTCAGCACCCTCACAGTAAATCAGCCAAAACAGCCTCAAAAACAAGTGCTTAAGAATCTGCATATTTGCCTGCTCACCCAGTGACTGAAACTCAGCTTTCCAAGTGTCCTGTCACAACTCACTGGCAGGATTTTCCCTGTAGTCCCTGGCAAGACACAAAGGAGCTGAGTGTCAAGACTAGAGGGTTTTGCTGGGATTTGGTTGGGAGTTCGGTTGTGCCAGCATCCAGAAGCATCCATTTCTGTCCCCTGATCTCAGGCAGAGCCCAGAAAGATTAGCTTAAAAGTTCTATCTGATTTTTAGCTGGCTGTGTAACTAGTTGAGACGTACAGAGGGGTACTGCTACCCCACGGGATTTATTCAATGACCCCCAGGAAAACTGTCATTAATCCCTGGCTACTGATTTAATTCTTAGAGCACTCTTTCACTTCAGCTAGAAGTGACCCACAAAATCATAACAAAAGACAAAGAAATAGAACCCAGAATACAAGTTATGTTTTGGGCTTTTTTTTTTCTTTCACACTGTGTTATGAAGTCAAAACTGGACCTGTTTCTGTGGGAACTTGTGCTAAGGTATGCAAATATTTCAAACCAAAGCAGTCCCATTTTCCAATTGGAGTGGGCCAGGTTTCAGGCAAAGATGCTTTCACAGCAAAACCTTGGGAAAATTCACCGTTTTCCACATTTCCAATATGCCAATATTCATCTCATGCTGAGTGCCAGCAATTGTTTGAACAAGGCTACAACCCAAGAAAGCACTTAAGCACATGCTTAACTTTCAGCACATGAGTAATCTCAGTGATGTCCTGGGTTTTTGTTAGATTCATTACTGTTAGTTACCATGAGTTTTTAAATCCATTGGGACAATTTGCATCTTCTGAGCTGTATAATTGGGCTGTGAAAGGGATGGGAGCTCATGATTATTGAATTGTTAATTAGTCATTTTTATTATATTTAAATATGCTTTAGAAAACCATAATGATGTATGCTTCCTTGATATTAGCTGTACTAATTAGATCATCTTTCCTAAATTAGAGTGCAGTTTTCTTAGCAGGTTTCCTTTTATCTGGTGTTCATTTTTCAAATGAGCTTCATGTTGTTCCCACAGATGAATGAATCACTTCCAGGGAATCATGTTATGCCAAAGATGTTTTTCTAACTGTAGAATGCCTATGGGTGGATCACGGGTCTCCTTGAAATGAGTAAATATTTTGAAGCTGGGCTTTCCTCAACAATCATGAATCCTTTGACTAGATAAGTGTAACTGTGTCTGGGATGAAACTCAGTTCCTACAACAAACCAGGGCATTTGGCATGTTTACCATGTCAGAACAATCTCACACTGACACAACTCGAAAGCAGAAAACAGAAGTGGTTGAAACACATTTATACACCTGAATGTGCAAGTGTATTTCTTTGCATACTTTCTTTAGCAGATAATTAGTGGTTTGGCACTGAAAGCCCTGCTCTGTCCTTCAGCATCAAAATATTACTTTCAAAAGATTCCCAAGGAAATGATGACCATGCTACTCCAGAGGTCCTCAGTTAGGTTAGCCTAAACATTTAATTTATCATGGCTTAGGTAGATTGCAATATCCTTTCTGGTTAAGGAAAACTTCAATTATAGATCTCTGCACAACTAGCCCAGAAATTTCTCAAAAACTACCCATGAAATCACAGGCTATTCACTCAAATGTGATGCTCCTGGTTTCAGAGAGCAACTATGAGAACATTCTGTCTTGGTAATTCTTGGCCTGTCTGTCTAGCTCAACATCCTCACAGCCACTTGGAATGCTGGACATTACCAGGATGAGAAGAACAGGGAACTGTTTTGATCTGAACAAGATGACCCAGCTCTCTGGAAAGCAGTTACTTACGTGTCAACATATCTCCTGCTGAGGTTTGAGATGACAACTGGAGATCCAGACTGGAAAGGAGGGTCCCGAACCACTTTGTACTGGATGGGTTTGCAGTCTGCACACAGCGTGCTGTGGGGGACAGAGCTCAGCATGGCAGCATCGATTTCCAGGTGCTCATCCAGGGTGTAGATCTGGATTCCATACACCTCCTCGCCCACCCGTCCTGCATCCAGCTTTATGGTCAGTGGGATGTCGCAGAAGACGTTCTGCGGCCCCAGAGAAATGTTCTTCCCGCTGACGGTGAGCAACTTGATGTCATTCACTGCTCCACTGGAGTCCCAGTCCGGGGAAACAAATGTCACCCAGATTGTGAGAGACTCTGGAGTCAGGGGATAACGGAACTCCAGCTGCAGGTAGCAGCCCTGGGGCTCGGGACAGGCTGGGGGCACCGTGTGTTGGTTGACTGCCGAGTTGGGACTCCACGTCCTGACGCTGGATTTACAAGGCTGCTCCACATCAGGGTGCCCTGGGAAGAAAGGAGGAAGCAGAGAGAGGGCACAAAAGAAGTTAGAGAACATGGGCTGTCGTTGGCATCGGTTTTAAAAGATAGACTGGTGGCAGGAGAGCATATCTGTCCAGGAAAATGATTATTTACTTGAGCAGAACAGGCATGGCCAGCATGGGGAGGAGCATAACACCAGCCTCTCCTGGTCAGGTGCTTAAGTGCCCAGCTGGACTGGACACCACACAACACACACCGTGCCAGTGCATTTGGTCCTGAATTTCCTATTTTGAGTGTCTTTCTCTGTGCCAAACAATGGTATTTTCTACCCCTTCCACTCGGTAATTCACCTGATAAGCAGAGTCACTTTGCCTTCAGTTCACCCACTCCCTTGACTCTCACTCCAAAATACAATCCTTTCCTCTCTAACAAAGACAAGAATAGAGCTTTTGTTGGTTCCAAGAAGCTGTTGCATTGTGCTGTTCAGGGGCAACTCCTGTGACATCTACACACTGGTTTTTGGAGGCACAAGGAGCACAGGTCTGAGCTGTCTCTTTGAACTTGTTATGAAACAACAGGCACTTGTACTTTTACATTTCTCACCGGTGGCTGTGTTCAACTACATGGGAGGTAGTGCTAAAAACTAATGAAAGCCACAATGCTTGCTGGGTTCCCAAATACTATGGTAACATTACAATTTGGCATGGAGTCGTGGACTGCAAGATCCAGAGAGGTCAGACGGGTGGAACAGTTGGTAACAGAATCCAGTGAGAGCTATAAATACCTTCTTCCTTCCCAAATAATCACACAAAAAGGGAGCAAGCACAACAGGGAGAAGCAAAATACAGAAAAGAAGAAAGGGAGAAGTAAAGATAAAGAAAGGTAAGGACAGGAGAGAAATGGAGATGACAGAGGGAAGAAAAAGGAGAGCACAGCCGCTTGCAGCTGAGGAAGAAAGCATGATAAAGCAGTGGGCAAACATGGACAAACAGGACATCACTACTAATTTAAAGAGAAAAGGGCAATGTGTGAAGGTTATTCGTATTGTCTGTGATCCAATGAAGTGTTAGAAGTGCACCTCTTTTGTCAAGGATAAACAGCTCAGGGAATTCTCCTGTTCCTGCCCAATGAACCCAGGTGCAGAATAGACTTTCTGGCATCTCAGGCAGCCCTCCTGTGATCCAACACAACTGCCCTGCAGATGCCCAACTTTTAATGCTTCTCCCTCACCCACACACACCCCACTGCCCTCCTCCTTCCTCACATGCCATGGAGTGGTGGGAATGCCACTGAGCTCAGTGTCTGGAGGGACCACAGCAGCCATACAGTTTGAAGAAAGCCAGAGGTCCATTTAACATGCTCCAGTTTTTCCCCCTGGCAAGCTCATGAGCCCTGTGTATCATCACCCTGAGCAGCCAGTGCCCCACTCAGCTCCTGTTATCTCCCATCACCCCTGACTGTGTGTGCTTGGCTGAGCCCTCCCGTGACTTTCTCAGCAAACTCCTGACTGCAGCCCTGAGAAGGTGGTTTTTAACTCCAGTATCTCAGAGGGCTTTGGAGAGATCTGTGAGCCTCACCACTGCCATCTCACAGAGAGGAAAATGGAGTTAATGGCTCACAGCCCAGTACAAAAGTGGTGCCTGTTTGGGATCCTGCAAATTCACCTCTGTCAGTTCAAGGCCTCTGCAAGACCTGAATACCAAACAAACCTACACGTTTGGGTACATCAGGGTGTGATCCCTGGAGATACATGAATTGGACTCAGCCTCCAGAGAGCTTAGAGCAGATCATTACCCCAAAATGGGAGCCAGACTGTATTCATTCATACACTGCAAACCTCAATGAAGTTGAGATAAAGAGACTCTTCCTTAAATATCATCAAACACTTAGGACTGGGTAAGAAACATTCATTTAATTGTGGAAGAGAATGAAAATCCTATTTCATGCAACTGGATTTCTAGAGATGGGTAAATACTCTGAAAATTACAAATATTTGTATATAAAAAGAAACTGTGCAGAATTTATTTTTCCCCTCTGCACTCAGATTCTGAAAATCCTTTGGCTTATGAGTTAGTCAGCTAGGTCAGTCATAGAAACATCGTGTCTTGCCTGACACAAAACAGGAATGTGAGGTTTGTGAGGATAAGCCAAACTTCATCTCCTGGTTAGAGAGCAGGGGTGGCAGGCTGGGAAGGGGTCTTTCCCCAAAATGTTGTCCACAGCCACAGCCTGTGTGTCAATTCTTCATCATGTAGTTCAGTGCAGTGGCTGGGATGAATGTCCTGGCATTGTCCTGGCACATGGACAGAGCCTGAGAGGCCAGCTGGGATCAGCAGTGCCTCAGGATGTAGCTGCTGTCACAACTGCAACTCACCTGCCACATTTTAGGTGGCCAAGACAAAGGAACCATCCTGTGGGACTCCAATGTCCAGCTGAGACATTTCCCCTCACAAATACAGAATGAAATCAGTGAAATAATGGCCCCTAGGAAAGGCAGGACACTAGAGCAGCCTAAGGCAGCAACAGGTTTAATTGTATTCTCACACTTCTCTCAGTCAGCAGTGAGCCAGGCAGCAGGAACTGACTGATATATGCATATATTGCACAGCAGGCAAAGGAACGTTCTGGGCTTGAGCCAAAATCACCTTTCTTATATAAAACATTCCTTTGACCGACTTCTGGAGGTGCTGTGAGGTTTGTTTATCCAGCAGGTGTTGCTGGTGAGAATCCAGGTAGGTTAAAGCTTTCTAGTTCTATGGTGAAGGTAAAGAGTAAATCAAAACTGCCTTCCCACAGCCACTGCCAGTGAGCAAACAGCCCCTCGTGCAAGGGCCACAACTGGCTGAGAAAGGGCCACAGAATCCCTCAGCCTGGGGGCTGGATCCAGCTATGCTCAGGAATAAGCAGGGCACTAGGAAGGACCCAGAGCACTGCTGGTATCAGCTCCCTGGGGTAGCAGTGTACTGGTGCTGTGAGACCTCAGGAACATGAGATCAGACCAACCAGGTTCTGAGCGGCTTCAGAGGCACACGAGCAATGTGGTTTTCTGGTTGGAAGCTGGATGAGTCCTACAAAACATTTTCCATGAATGTCGTGTCAGATTTTAAACCGAGTTCATTTTGACCATGAGTAGGCCTCTTTTGTCTTCACCTTCCACGAACGTTCAAGCAGTGGAGATTTACACCTGCAGAAAGTGAAATTAAAGCTTGCACGCTTTGGTACTCATAGATAGACAATTAAAGAAGCCAGACAATGATCTAACTGTGCTATTTGTAACTCAGACCAAGTGCAAATAGGCAGATATCCTGAATGTCAGGGAGTGTGTGGCAGTGACGACAGAAAATCACGGAGCAACAAACACCATACACTCGGTGTATTTTCCACCCTAAAGTGGAGACAACTCAACAAGGGGACAGGATTCCCAAATTTATTTATTTTTTTCCAGAGCAATGACACCACAGCAATTGAATGAGGCAGATAAGGATCAGACTGCACCCTTCATAGTTAAGGACATGCAGGCACACTCTGCAAGGAGAGGAAATTAAATGCAAAATGCCACTGAGTAATAAATCTTAGAGTAGCTTAGTTTCTCTAGGAATGATGCCGCTGGCAAGATGTGTGAGATCTACAAGTTTTTCAAATCAAAGGCTGTTGGAGAAATTTTGATGGAACTGCACATTTCAATGGAATATGCAGTCCTCTCAAAATCAAAACTCTTTGCAAAATTGGGTTTATTTGGATAAAATTTTATTCTGGAAGAGAAAATGGCAAGAAAGTTCTAACACTATTGGAACATTGTTTTTAGACATTTTTGGAAGAATTATTTTTACTTTTGCACCTTGAAACATTTTCCATTTTGATATTCAAAGTTGCTTTTGCCCTAGATTCTATACTAAAAGAGTATATTTTCAAATGTCATAATTTTACCAAAGTTCACAAAAGAGCAATTCTATGAGCTAAACAAAACATTTTGGCCAGCCTCAAACACTTTTTGTTTTTAATTTTCCTCCGCGGAGAATTTCAAAAGTTTCAAGTTTTGTTCCAAACGAAACCAAGTTTCAAAGTCTTGTAATGCTTGGCTAAGTGGAAATTCCACCTTCCACCCTCAACTACTGCTGCAAGCCATCCAAACTTCACTAGTGCTGTTTACTGGATAATCCAGTCACACGCAGCCGGAGCGCTGCTTCCCAGGATGGAGCATCCACTCAAGGGGCAGGTGTGCTCTGAGCTGTGCCCAGCAGCCTGGGCCTTGGATATCATGGAATCACAGACTGGTTTGGGTTGCAGAGACCTTAAATCTTTTTGTTCCACCCCCTGCCATGGGTAGGGACAGCTTCCACTAGCCCAGGTTGCTCCAAGCCCCGTCCAACCTGGCCTTGGACACTCCCAGGGATGGGACAGCCACATCTCCTCTGGGCAACTTATTCCAAACCTGGGGGCTGAGTTGGAGTGAAACACAACCTCTGCTGGGCCCCCACCCTGGGACATGGGTGTGTGGGGCAGGGGACACTTGTCCTATCAAGCAGTGGGGATCCAGCTCACTGCACCTGCTGACCTCAGGACGAGGGAGGGCTCTTGGGTGCCAGCACTAAATGTATCACCACATTATCACAAATAATTTTCCTTGCAGAATAACTCCCACGTGCTCTAGCTGCAGGACAAAAAAGCCCTTAATGGAAGGAGGTATTTGTATAACGACTTTGCAAAATCCAGGGGTTGGCCTTGGGGCTCTGTGAGCCCACCTTTGTGCTCACAGCGAAATCTGGACCAGGAACGTGCTGCTCCCACAGGAACAGCTCATGATGGACAGATTGAAATAATACTCTGCTCTTTCCAAACCATGATTTGTGATGACTGACCTCTGCCTGGTGTAATCTTAAATATGCTCCACCACATCCAGCTACTTACGGAGCGGAAGGTACACGTGGAGGAGAGTTAATGATGGAGATCTAATGACACTGTACAACCAGCCCTGCAGACCATTCTCCCTCCAACACGCTCAAAGGGAAGCAATAAGAATGACTTGCAAAACACCCTGAACTAGAGAGGGCCTGACATAGTCACCTGCATTCCTGCTGCAGAGTATTTGCCCAAAGGGCAACCTCCTTTCAGCCTGGCTGCTGCTGCAGCCCTCTGCTAATCACCACAAGCAAAGGCAGCAGAAATCAGGCCCAAATAAACAACAATTCTTCACTTTTGGAGTTGGAGTAGAGGGAGCAAACAGCTCCCCTGAGGAATTCCTCCGACAGATGTGAATGGTCAGCATTTCTTGGCACTCTGCTGCTTTGTGAAATTCATGTTCAGCTCCCGGAATTCACTTAATTCATGGGCAAGGGCAGGACCCGGGGGCCAAAACACAGGTATTTCAGCCATGGCATTACCCCAGGGCACGGTGTTTCTCTGTCCTCTAGTTTTGCTCACGTTACACGCCGGCGTAATCAGTCACTCTCCCCCAGATTTTCCCACTGCCTTTGTGGCTCTCCTTTGACTTTGGCCTCCCTTGTCCCCCACCACGTCTTTGCCCCCAGCTCTGTGACTCACCTTCTGCCTCCCGTGGGCTCCAGTGCCCCGAGGGATCGCAGGGCATGGGGGACGAGGCGCTGAAGGCGTATTGCACCAGGACTCTTCCTTCCGCACACAGATCACATGCTGATCCCACTTCTCTAGGAGGCCAGGAAAACAGGAAAACACACCAACTTAGTAACAGCTGAGTGAGCTGCTTATTCAACTATATTAAAAGCAATAAGACTTAGAATTCAGGTCCACTTAACCCTCTTTTTCTCAAGGCACTGAAAAGAGTGTTTTCTGATGCTGACCTTCCGCAGATTTAAGCTAAGAGCCCATGTAGACACCATTTGTGTGCCCTCCATCCAACACAAAATGACAGCAACCTGAGAAATCACATTCACCTATATTTTTTCTTATTTTTTTCCCCCCTCTGCACTGGATCAAACCCTGACAAAAGAAAATACATGCTGCTTAGTGTTTAGAGCAGAGACACTGGCCTCAGGAGATTTCAGATCTATTTCTGCTGCCATCATGGATTTATTTATTGCTTGAACTTGTAGTACCTTTAAGATTGTGAAGGCTTTGGGCATTCTGATGGTTAGAGGAAAGGGTAAAGTCCCAGGTTCTGAAACCATCAGACAGAGTTACTCTATGAAGCACAGCTTTGCTAAGTATGCAAGAACCTGCTTTTGGAGGTGTCTCACAGCCCTGATCATTTGATCATTACAAGCCTGAAAAAGGGGTGGGTTATGAACATACAGAATAGAATATGCCCTTAAGTCTTTTTTCTTTTTTTCTTTTTTTTTTTTACAGGGGAAACAGGGATCACAAAATTTGGAAACCTTGTTTGACCCAGAATGTGTGGCTATTCATCCCAGTAAGCTGCTTATTATTCAGAATTCATTGTTCTGCTTTAAGTAACACTTCCTGCTAAAAAGGAAAGTTAAAAATTAATTATCCTAATGATCAAACACACCTAGGAAAGGACAAGTTTTAGGCAAACAATTGTGTGTAACACAGTGTACTCTCTACACGACTCGAGTAAGTATGGATTGAGTCAATTACTGTGATAATTTATATCAACTATTACAATCAGCTATGCAAATTTTCACCATCATAACCACCACTGCATGATTTGTTTCAGCACTGCTTTGAAGAGGGCACTGTGATCCTCAGGCAGAAGTTATTTTGGATCCTCAGTGAGGACACCAGGACTGTAAATTTACTCTCCCAGCACTCCCCAACTGTGCCACCGCCTTTCCCTTCGGTGGCAGGGATGGCACACACTCAGCTGGCTCCACAGCTTAGCATCTCCCATTTGTTGACAGGGATCTATTTGAAAGTCAGCTTTCTGTTGGCTTCATCAGGCAGAAGCAGGGATTGTCAACGATGGGACTTGGAATGAAAGCAGTGTTAAAACTCATACCCATTTCAGTGTGGCCACCCCCAAAAAGAGACAGTAAATGACTGTCTCAGGCAGAAAGAGATGCACCTGCTGAAAACACCTGAAGAATTAAGTGTGACAATAAGGTAGAATAAAGAAGAGGGAGGCAAAAGTGCCCTTCTCTTCCTTGTATCATCTGTAACACTTTCAATGAAAAATTTGGGCGTGTTGTGAGCGACTTCTCTCCATGTCCCATTCACCCACCTGCACTATTGGCATGACACTGCCTCCCTATTTCATTTCCCAGCTATCTATTTAGAAGTGGTTTAAGTGTCTAACTCAGCTTGCCTGAATAATATATGCAAAAAAAAAAAAAAAGAGAAACCAGAATAATAGGTACTGAAAAATCAAGATGCAGAAGTATTGTTGTGCAGTTGTTTTTCAGACACATCCACCACTAGTCAGGACAGAAGTCCCTGCAACAATAACTTTTCAGTTTCTCTACAAAGAGACTCATGCATTAGCACTTGGTCCTGGATGAGGACAGGGCTCTGAAAGCCAAGTTTCCACAATTAGGACTGCTTTTCACTCAAATTAGCAGCTATACAATTTCATCACAGGCTGCCATGGTGGAAAAAAATGGTAGGCTTATGGACAAACATTTCCTTTTACCAGTGAGGACTTGGAGGTAAGAGAAATCACAAGGAGCATCATGTGGGAAAGGCTATGAGCAAACTTTCTCTTTTTACTTTTCCAATTTGGGAGCCAGACTCAACCCTGATGTAACTCCACTGGCTGAAAGGACTTACACAGGGGATGACTCCTGGGTTAAAGTTTTTGGTCTGCAGACTCTTGCACACAAATCCTACAAACAGCCATGAATGTCAAACCTAATTATGGAATCACATTTATTGGCTTATGAAAATCTAAGCCAGATCCTTACACCTTATGCAGCCATGGACAACAAGGAAAAATGAGCATAAATTGGTTCAAAACACTATTAATTAGGAATGATAGCATATCTGCCACCTTATACACCAGTGCACATGACTCCCCAAAGTGCAGGGTAATGGAAAATCTAGACTTCTCTGTTTTCTAATAAGCCAAGTACTGGGGAAATTCCAGCTTATGAAGTTCAGAGCACAGGAGGAATTCATTCCTACAGCATGATATTTCAGTGAAGTGGATTCAAAATCTAAAGATTACTAGTGAAAAACAGACAATTTCCTTCAGGGCCAGCACCAGTTCAGTGGGCAACTCAAAACCACTAAATATCTGTCATTGCTTTGGGTAAAAAGGGCCTGTTTTTAGGCTAAATTGCAGCTGCTTACTTGAAATTCAGAATCAGTGCTCTCCCTTCTAAGGCACTGAAACTTTCCATCAAGGTTTAAGCCAGTGATTATCAAGCCCAGTCATCTCAATCTGGGACACCACACCGACCAAAATATTTGCTTGCTAAGAATGAGATAGCATCAGATTCATGGAAATTAATGCAGTCACCTCAATGAAAACTTGGAAGAGAAGATGCATTCAAAGTTTTCTGCCCAGGCAGAATTTGCTGCAGAGCCCTATTACAATAACTGTTTACATCTGCCTGTGCATATCAAACAGGAGAACAGTCAATGGATGAACACATCTAATGGATGCAGCCAGGAAATGAAGAGGCTTCTCTTTTTCTCACTTGTTTTCACTTGTTTCGTTGGCTCTGTTATTATTTTATTATTACATATTATTATATGTGTATGCAACATTTTTTCATGCTTGTTTGAAAGGGAGGATGGAGAATGGTAAGTATTCCAATCCCACGTGCAATAGCTACAAGAAGAAATGCTGGTTCTTGATGTATTTGATTACTAGAGATGTTTGGAAGCTCGACCAGCTACTGGAGTTTAGGGTCAAAGCATGTTGGAAAATTTATGTGCAGGTAAATGACTCTCTTAAGTGAAAGAGCAAACATCAGTTGAACACTCTAAAGAGGTAAGGAGGGTCTGTCAGGAAGAAGATTTTACTGCTGTGCACAGCTCATGCACCTATTCTTGCCAAAATGTGAGAACACAGCATAGCCAACTCCAAATTAACAGGAATCATGAGTTAACATTGCTCTCTGTCCCTAAATCCACATCATTAACCAACAGAAGACCCTATGAGAAAAGCATCTAATGCACCTGTGGCAGAGCTGCATCTAAGCAGGGGAAAGGCACATGGTCTTTACTTCCACACTTCCTCTCCCTTCAACCACAGACCTGTCAGGACCTCACACACAGACACAGCCAGCCCAGTGCTGCATTTTTAAACAGAAGGCTAAATTTTCTCTCCCTGACTTTCATTAGGCAGAGGTCACTGCCTGTGCAGCTCTGGAGAATAAAAGAGACATAAAAAGAATTTGAGTTACGCCTACAGTAGCATTGTAATTTGGATCAGGAGCCAGCTGTTGAAGGGAGACTCCTCCCCTTGCCCACTTAGAGCACTTGGGTCAGTCCTGGAGCATGGAAGCTGGACCAATTCTGCAGAAACCAGAGCAGAGGTGTGCTCCAGGACCACACCTGATGTGCTCCCACCACTGGTGCCATGGGGCACCAGGAACCCCCCCAGAACCCCTCCAGTGTTGACGTCAGGTCTTCATTAACCACTGTTTTGCACTGGAGATCTACTTATATTGGGCCACAATACTTGCTAATGTAGCCAGAGCCATTCATGCTTTGAAGGCCCTTTACACTGTCAAAACAGCAAGGAAGGGGCCTCTGTGCATTAGAAACCAGGCCCAAGGCACTCAGCAGCTGAGTATCAGTCTTCTGTTTTTTACATGAATAGTCCCATTGAAGTGAATGAGTTTATTCATTCAAGTGAGGCAAGTAAAATTTGGGCCATGGTGTGCACTTTGTGTAAAAATATCTGCAAAGATTTACAGTATTCCCACACACAGATAAGATTATACTTGGCCAATTTTACCTCCTACTTGTCTTGCACAGTGACCCAATTTCACAAATTGATACAGGCATGTGGCTCTAACCGAGCAGAGCTGGACACAACAGCACTGGAAGTTCAGCACGTGAGCCTTTCCAGGATTAGTCACTACAATAATACTGTCATCCTTGTTTTGATTAACAGATCAAAAATCTGGGCATGTTTGAGACAGGATCATTTATATATTTCAGTGACATTTTTAAATGGTCACGGCAACATTTCTGTTTCCATCAGCAGTGGGAATCTCATTTTAACAAGGAATTGGACTCAAAGTATTTGAGGCTGTCTCTTTAAATCTCTTCAGTAATACTGAGCACACAGATTTGAAAGCCCAAAGGAGTTTTTTTTTCCTGGAAAATCACTCTTTATTTAACATATGATAACTCTGTTATGAAATTTTAGATTTAGCAGGCTATCCACTGTGTGTTATTTAAGAAGCAAGTAACTAGAGGTTATTAAGAACATATTGATTGAGTTATAAGAAATATGTAATAAAGGAATATTTGGTTACATAACAATTAACTTTGCATCAACGTGTTTTTAAGAGGCAGATGGCATTTATTTAACACACAATAAGCATCTTCTGAAATCTAAATTAAATTGGAGAAATTTAATTTGCCTGAAAATGATTACGGGCTAAAAAATTCTGAATTGATTTTCAGAACTTCACAAAAGTCCTTTTCACAGGTCGGGAATAAAAGGATTCAGTTACAAAACTGCAATTAAAGCAAACGCTGTTCAGAGCACGAGACCTCTCTTTATCGATTCCTATTGGGGTTTGATTACCCTCCCCACATCAATCTGCAGTAAAGGTGGAAAATCTCATCTGAGCAGGAAACAACAGCTCTCTGCCCTGTGGGATAAAGTGTGAGCTGGGCACTGAAATGGCCAGGGTGTCCTGGCAGTGCTGGAAGGAGTTTCATCCCTGATGGAGGCTTTCAAGGTGCTCTCCCAGCACAAAGCAGCAGTGCTGAGGCAGCTCTTTGGGTGTTAATACGCTTGTAAATTCGGCCTCCTGTGCTCTGAACTGCTGTGCTCCTGAAGGACACTCCAAGTTTGCTCTCTATAAAACAACAAAGCAGAAGGTGGAGAAGAAAAGCAAACAGGGGAGGTGAGCTAATGGTAATGCGAGAAGGTCAATCATTTAGGAAGTTCTCTGCCAGGACTCCACAGCTCCTGCAGCTCATCCAAGAGCTGTGTAAGAGCATTTAGGTGAACTGCCCAGTTGCTCAGCTCATCCTGGGGCAGAGCTGCTCTGGCTATGGTCTGCAGTGTGCTGTGACTCCTGCCCAGAGCCCTACATTCACCTAATTTTTCATTACTGATATTACATATTGCATGTCTATAAGATACAAACACAGACACACACACACACACCCCTACTCTGACCTACAAGATGACACTCATGATATTCAAGGGGGTCTTTGATTCTGCCTTGCACAATTCCCACCTCAGACCCACAGCTCAGGGAAGGAGGGAGCATTTGTCCCCATCCCCAGCCCAGCCCCCTCCTTGCCCTGGGAGACTCCACAGCCCACGAGCTCTGTGTTGTCACAGGAGTAGAAACAAGATCCACTTTGTCCTTGCCAAGGAAACATGCAAGAGGAGGAGAGGGAACACTCAGGCAGAGCTGAACCCCACAGGTATTCGTGAGCAGCAATAACAGCAGGAATCACAGGGCTGGAATCTTTGATTGAAAATTCCTCCCGTAACATATGGAGAAAGAGATGCCCTTTACATGGCAAATCAATGGCCTTCAGCTGAGAGCTACAGGCTGAGAAAGGAAGAGCAGACAACAGATCAATAACCTCCTCAGTATGAACCAATTTAGGAAGGAGCCTTAAGACTGAGCACAGCACATGACCAAGCTGTGATCCCGGAGCAGGGTCCCTATTTCTCCCCTTCCCATCAAATTCAGCACCAGAGTGCAGAGCAGCGAGTGATCACCTTTCAAAGAAGTGGCCGTCGATGGGTGGGAACCACTCCAGAGTGACAGAGGTGGAGGTCCGAGCCACGATCTGGGGGGCAATGGCAACAGGAGCCGGTTTCTTGGTGGGCTGCCAGCTCTGGTAGACGAGGTCCAGGTAGCAGTGCATCCTGGCCACCTGGTTGGGAGTGAAGGAGTCGGTGCAGTCATCGTCTGGAATTAAAACAGAAGCCACATCAGCCACGTGGGAGAGGAGGTGGGAGCAAGAGAATTACGACCTGGTGAACAGCAGCTTCTTGCAAGGGCTGGGATGGGCTCTCACAGCACTCAAAAGTTAATGGCCTGTGAACAAATTAGCAGGGCCATCACTTGTGGAGGCAGGGAAAGGAAACAAAGGTTAAAAAGGAAAAAAAAATAAGTCGATAAACGTTCCCTCCCTCTGACCTGGGATACACCTGAAGCACCCAGAGATCATCCCTAGATGAGACAGAGACACGTGGAGGTGAAGGAACAGAAAGCCTCAGTGCAGCACCTTCTGGCCAGAATCGGGGCTACCAGTGGACCTCTGGGTTTAAAAGCATTTAAAATAATATTTCTGAGAAAGGATGAAAGGGCAAAGGATGGCTGGTGTCAGGATAATGCACTGACTGAGATTCATGCAAACTGTAGGTGACAGGCTTTTTCAGATTCCTTCGATTAAAACACCACAGAACTTTAAAAATGTGTAATTTTAAAATTTCTTAAATTTTCTAATGAACAAATAAAAATGTTCCAAAAGATCAATTTAGAATTACAAACAATCATTACAAACACTGTTAAAAATGTAAATGTTTGGTGCAGTTATAGAACTGAACCTGAGATTAGCTCAGTTGTTTAGACACTGTTGATAATAATGCCAAGGTTGTGGGTTCAATTCCTGTATGGGCCATTCACTTAAGAGTTGGACTTGAAGATCCTTGTGGGTCCCTTCCAACTCAGAATATTCTGTAATTCTGTGAACTTTAGTTCTATGAAGATTCTCCCCAATTACCACTATGATTCTAACCCCTTTCAGAACTTTTCACTAACGTTTTTTGATATTTCGCATTTCTTTTTCATTCAAAATGAAGAAATAACTGCACTGGACAATTTCCCATAAATACCCATTTCTCATTTCATCTTGTTTTCCTCAAACATGATGTGGCAACAAGAACACATTGAGTGCCCTCTGAACACCACACAGCTTTACAACTACAATGCCCCAGAGAAGTAGGATATTGTTGTTTCTCTACTGTGCAGATCACAGAGGGAATAAATACGCTGTGCAAAGTCACCCAGAAACGCTACACTGAGGAACTTGGTGTTAGCACTTTAACCATTTCTCTGGTATTCTCCCCATCAGATGCAAAGCTCTTGAAAACACAGATAGTTTCTTCACAAGGAGAGTTCCCAGCCCAGCCCAGCCCGGCCCCAGCTGGGACCTGTGCACGCTGCTGTGATACAAACAATGACAGCACTGCACAGGTCAGCCTCTGCCCTTCTCTGGGAAGGTGCAGGTCACCAAAAGCTGCTCAGAGACATCAGAGGTTCAATATTGTAACACCATCACCGGATGCTCTGATGTTCTCAAATCTGTGTGGTACTCCAGAGGAACAAAAATAACATGAATTTGTTCTAAAGAGAAGTGTGTATTTGTTGGGTAATTTAAAACCTGACCCCATCTTCCCAGAGATGCCAGGAAAAGGAGACAGCTCTGGTTGGGATCCTGCCCCAAAAGCAGCCCCCACCCGCAGTGAGGACACACCAGTTCTCATGTTCTCCTGCATCTCTCCCAGCTCCACTGAGCAGGGACCCTCCTCTGATCAGACAGACACCACCCGCCTGATAATATCTCCAAATCCCTGTGGGTATGCAAAAAGCTGCTTTAATATGACACCTCTGGATTTCCTCAATAATTATCGATGGTCTGCCCCCTGAGAGCGCTGTAAAAGCCATAAATATTCTTCACGGAAGCACAGAAGGGGACAAAGGCCCTTAATAGCCATCATAAAGGAACAATAAAATATATATAGGACAAAGCAGTGAAACAATGGCACAGGAGAAGGATGACCTGCATTCTCAATCTGTTTAAACATCAGCACAGGCTGTGTCCTGGGGGCGGGGAAGGGAGGAGAGGGAGAAAGGTGTTTCACTCGACATCAAGAAAGGCTCCAGACCCTCAGATAAAGTGATAATTAGAGAAATTATTTGCTGGGATGATTATTCCAACAGAATTCAGAGGCAGAATTCCTAATGATTTCATGACAACTTGTTTAAAAGACCAACTTATCTTTTATTTGGGAACAGCACGGATATTTGGACTTGTAAAAACAATTTACAAGTCCTGTTCCTCACAGTACTTAATCTTCTGGACATCGTAACTTGTTATTCCAGGGAAATAAAAGTTACCCATTAAGTCAGTGCTTTGCTCAGAGCTGAGGGTAACTGGACAGATGGATGTTAGGCAGGGACAGACAGATAAACACAAGATGATCAAGCTGTACATGAGCAGCAAAACAGACAGGAAAGAAAGGCAGTTCTTAGAGCTGCATGACCTCAACCTACATGTTTCAAAGGTATTTCGACAGCAATCTGATATCCTGATATATTTTACTCCACTGGCAACAACAGAAAAGCAAACAGATTCATGCATGAGCTCTAGAGATATCTATCATGTCGCTTCACTTAATTTTTCAAGGGAAAAAAAAAAAGGTTTCAGCTCAGAACACCAGCACACATGGAGCTCCCAGGAGCAGAGAGGTATCTCTGTGGTCTGCCTCCTGCTCAGCTTCTGAGTCAATTGGCAAGTTCTCTTTGGAAGGAGAGAGCTCAGTGTTTGGAACAGCACACCCCACCCCTCGTCACATCCACACAGCACATTGGGTGGACATTGTCATCTGAAGAGGCCCTGACTTATCTGTGTGATGTTACAGGAGGCTGTACCAGGCAGTCAGGCTCCCTGCCCTACCACAGGCACTGCAGCTGAGGAGCTGACTCAGTGTGTTTTGTCCCTGAAAATACCCTCTAAACAAATAGAAAAATAAAGAGAAAGCTAAGCATCACTTTTAGCTGGTGCCACAAAGGGCATAAAAGCATTTCTGTTATAAATCATTTCAATCCGTGCCCTAGATGACATTAAACACTTTGCTTCTCTACAGTTTTATTACAGAATAAGCACTCCTGTGACCTTTTGAGTGGGCAATCTGTGTTTTTGCCTGGAGTATAAAGGTGCCCTTCAGTGTCTGTAAGTACAGACAACATTTAAAATGTTGTTGATACTGTCAGCTCGCTGTCACAGACCTTCACCACAGCGAGACTGTGACTCAAAATAAAGGGAAATATGAGTCAAGGTATCCCCTGTTCTTTCTGGGAAATAACAGAGGATTCCTCAACTCCCCTTGAACTTCCAGGGGTGCAGCAAGGACCCCACCCCAGCCCCATCTGATGGGTCAGGGTCACAGGAGCTCATGCCCTCCTGGTGTTACACTCTGTTGTGAGGTGTGCCAGGAGCTGGCACGCTGCTGTGCCTGCAGACACCTACAGTTATAACCACAACATCAGCTTTTGCTTAAGGGGCTTGTTCTTGTTGGAGGGGTGGCTTTACCACATTTATACAGAGCCCTTGTAATTGCATTCCCAGTACAAACCACCACAGCACACTGGTAGTCCTTGACCAGGCAGAATCCCGCTCTTCACACCCTAATGATGAAACTCAGATGTGAGTGATTCTGATGGAACAACAATGACTCCAAAGCAAACCTAAACATGGCATTTCAACAGGCACCTGGAGGCACGAGCAGTGTCACATTAGTTGTCCATCTATCACAGGTTTATCCTACAGCCTTGGTGGTATCAATGTTCATCTGACATTAAATATCTCCTTGGGAGAGGATAAACAATCTCTGAAGTTGGATTTTTCAAGGAAGACCTCATAGATCAGGCATCCAGACCTCAGGGAAACAGGGTAGATTTGCTGTAGAGCCTTTAGGTGCTGTTTTCCTAATGCTTATCTCATTTTCTTCCCTCCCCCAAACCTTCTGCCTGGTCTTCACCTGAAATGACATGAAGTTGGGGAAAACTGGGAAAAAAGAAAAGGAGAACTGGAAGGGATTCCTGAGGCCATCCAGCCTGGTCCTAGACCTATGGACACACATGTGAGCATAAAGCCCCACCTGAAATGACTGTAGAAATCAGAGGAAACACTGCAGTTCTTTGTTCTTGTCCAAGCACAGACCCCTCCCAAAGAACCAAGGAACCCCCCGTACCTGCGTAGCTCATGAAGTTACTGAAGGGCGTGTTCAGGAAACTGTGAAAGCCACAGGTGTCATTGCCAGGCCCGGGATCCCCACACAGCTTGTGCTTGGGAGCAGGGTTGGTGTCACTGCACAGGTCCCCAGTCTCGAAGGAGGGCTCAGTTTCCATGCACGGGTCGCTGCAGGAGAGGATCTCGGAGATCCCCCGGAAGACGTGATAGAGCCCCAGGCTGTGCCCGATTTCGTGGATCATCGTGTGAGTGTGGCCAGGGATTCCATAGAAGGAGGGATTCAGCACAATGCCACCTGCAAGGGGGAAAGAGAACAGCTTCCTAGGTTTGCCTTGTCTCCTTTGCAACAGCAAGAGAAAGGGAAAGGAACAATTCCAGGGGCAGATGCACTGGCAGTTCATCGGGTCCTCTGTAGCACAGACGACCTTTTGCACACAAAGGTTTAATCTCACCCTTGAGCTGGTGCTCTAAGGATGAAGATTCATGGGACAAAGGCCAGTGTCCTAAACCGAAAACACAGTGACAATCAGGCCTTTCAACTGAATATTCTCAGTTTGGGTTTTTGTTAACTTCAAGGGAAATCCTGCATGAAATTACTTCCTACTGTGCCTTTTCAAATAATTTCATGTGCTTAAAGAATGCAGTTCTGCTCAGATAAGTGTAAGCAATGTATTTGATGCCAGGAGTCAAACAAAACATACCTGGAGCACTCTGTATATTATTCCACAGGGTAAAGATATGAGAGAAGCCTCTAAATGTCTGAAACACCATGGAAATTGCAGAAGCTTTCACCAATATTTGCAAACTAATAGCTGGACCAAGACAACAGAGTGAACCCAGGGCTGGGACAGTTTTTGCAGGGTGTTGTGTAGACAGCTCTGAATTAACTGTCAGAAACACACTCTGCTCAGATACTCAGAAGAGCCTGGTTTGATCTGAGCTGAACAGTCCCCTGATGAATATGCATAAGCCTAATGTGTCAAAAAATATGAAATCCTGAAATGTGATAATTCTGAAAGAACTGCATGGTTGTTAAATATTTGCAAAGAAAAATAACAGTGGTTGTTTTGTTGTATGAATTATGGGATGTGTAACTAAGCAAATGGTAAATCAGTGAGGCTCTACAGTATATTGAATTAATCATGTGAATTATACTTTTAGCTCAGTTAGCTCTACCTTTGGATTTAAGATACATTTAATTTTTTTCTTTATTTAGCTTTTTGACCTCAACTTTTTCAAGCCTTTTATTTAAAACTGTTGGTGTGTACATTGCCTACCATGAAAAGAGGAGACTGCTTTGTAGAAGTTATAGTGGGATATAAACCCTGGGCATGGTACACTACTAATTTAGTGACAATGAAGAGAGAAAAGGTTTTGGCAGGAGGAACTTTATCAGTGACTGTAGTGCAGGAGAGATGAGATCACCCAGCTCTGATGCACCACAGACTCTTCATTCTCATCTGCTTGGAGACTTGGTTGTAATAACCGTGAAATTAGAGGAAAATAAGACCATGGAGATCCTAAAAAGTCATCTAAATTCCACTCTCAAACAACACAGGACCAATTAGGTCTATAGGATCCCTCACACACACTGGCCTAACGCCTCTTTACAACCCCTGACTGCCCCAGCAATCAGTGTCAGCACTCAGTATCCTTATGGCTGCAAGGATTTAACTCACATCTAATCTGAACTGATTTTTTGGCAGTTTAAGTTCATGACTTCAAGTCCTGCCTCGCACGGATATGAAGAACAGAAGATTCTCCTCCTCTTTCATCAGCTTTTATGAGATTGTCATCGCCCCCACTTTAGGCTCTTTTCCTTCAATCTGAATAACTGTAATCCCTTCAACCTTCCCTTGTAGCTCAGCCCTTTTCCCAGACCTCCCTGACTGGTTCTCCTTTGATTTTCCCAGTTGTTTCATGTTTTCCTCCAAGAAAAGTGTCCAAACACAAACACTACTCCAGATGAAATTTTATCAGTGCTGAAGTGAGAGGAAGGAGCAATTTGGATGTCCTGAAGGGACACACATGTGTATTTATGTGCAAGAGAGAAAATATTTCCCCTTTGAGCACAGGCACATGGCAGATGTGAGTCCCTTGGGCATGTACAAATAAACAATATATAGTATTAAAAAAACCAAACAAAACAAAACAGAAAATTTAAATATGTACAAAAAAGAGTGAATAAAACCTATCATGCTGCAACATCATGTCTATTATGCCACATGTAGTGTCTGCACATCCTTTTCACAGCACTGAACTTCTCCTCCCACTAGTTCTCCATATTCCCAATTAAACCTACCCACAATATTCCCATGTTCCTCGGATCCCTCTCTCTCCCTTTATATAATACATGCTCTAATTCTCTACCCAGGTGGAACCATTTACACCCAGAGAGCACCCTGGCATATTTTGTGGGGGTCTCTATCCCAAAGATAATTCCAGAGTTAGTTTCCCAGTGGCAGGAGTATTGGTGAAATTCCAGCAGGATGTGCCTTTAATAAAGGCTGGGGAAATTGTTCTGGCATTGGAGAACCCTGAGGCAGCTGGAGAGGGAGATTTTACTTTTGCCTTTGTTGAAAATTTATATTTTTCACAGCTGTCAAGAATCTAAATCAATTGCAGTTTTACAGAAAAGATAAACTCCCTCACCCAGACAATCTCTATCCCAGCCTTTAGATCTGCACCACAGGACATATTTCATATTTTTTATTAAGTACATATTGGATTTATAGAAGAGAGTAAAAAAGATTAAAGATGAATTCTTACAAGCCAAGCACAGGTCTGGGAGGGCTATTATGACAGGAAATTATGAGAATTTTTTTTTTTTTTTTACTTTTTTTGTTTGTTTGTTTGTTTGTTGTTGGTTGGTTGTTTTTTTTTTTCCCACGGCAAGTCAACTTTAATCTGTTGTCTAATTTTTTTTTCTCGTGAGTTTTTTTTTTTTTTTTTGGTCAATGAACTCTGTCAATACACTGTAGGAGCTGAATTTAAATTGTTTTGCTGGGGCATGATGTTGACAATTAGCTTAATGAAGTGACAGAAGAACTCATCAGGGCTTTGGGCGAGCCCCAGCCCTCTTGCAGGAGGTTCTTCTTGGCACTCTGGAGCTCTTCCCTTGTTCTCTCCTCCCTCCATGGCAACACCAAGGGAAGCTGTGAAAATACTCATTTAGGGAAGGATCAGCTCTATTGCAGCCATATTCCACTTTGGGCTAATGTTTCCCACCAGCAAAACCCACACTGTTGCACAACCAGAAGCAGAGTTACTGTGGGGCTTAGTGCTGGAGCAGGGGGTTGTGGTGTTCCCAAGTGGCAGAAATCACATCACTGTGGGTGCTGGGCAAGGCTGGGGTTAGGATCTATCTTTGGTTTTGCCAGATGTTGCCCTTGGGGAGTCATCACTGGTGGGCATTTACAGAACCTTCTGGTTTGGGTGCTGGCAGGAGGAGCCCATGGAGATGGGGCTGTAGGCAAGGCAGAGTGGAAGTGGCTTCATTTCCAGCTGAGCTCAGCAGGAGACTGGATGTGTGTCCTTGCCAGGCCTTGGGAAGGGAAGTTTGCTCACACTTCTTCCAGAGCAGCTGCAGAGCTGGATGTTGTAATAAAACATTGACTAACTGAAGGAAGGCAGCCAGTTCCAACTGCTTGGTCTGACCATGGAGCCTCTCTCTGCTATAAAGACATGTTAGCATCCAGTTTTGGGGGTATTTCTGAGCATGGGAAAGCCTCCCTGACTGATGGCTACAGCTCAACTCTCATTGTACATTTTAGGATGATAAACAGTGTATTTTGCTCTCCTCATTTAGGTGTATATTCATCATATCTTCTTTTACTTAGCTCAACATGGGGTTGAGTAGTATAAAAACTGGCTGAAACAGCCTTTCACAAAGAATTAAATTGGCTGAAACTGGACTTCTCTTCCAGTCTAAGAAGGTTTGGAAAAGCTGGAGAAATATCTGGAAAACCCCTGAGAATCCCTGCTCTCGGGAGATGGCCAGATCAGGTTTGCAGCCCCTGGGGGGCTTGTGCAGTTAAGAGAAGCACACACAGACTCAGTCAGTGCCTTGTGAACCTTTTGAGGCTCATCTGACATTTTGCAAGGAGCACGGGTCCAGTGGCACTGCAGGTGGCAGTGAGTCATTGGGGAGCTTTGTCTGGATCCCTGGGTTCCAGCAGCCACACTCAGCAACCTGGTTATGAAACACTCAGGGCAGTCTGCAGGGGAGTGAACTCCTTCCAGTTCCACTCAAATGAACATTAGAAATACAGTCTCTCAGCAGTTTGCTCTTTTGCACATCGGTGGAGGAAAAATAGCAGCAGATTTTAACAACAGTTTGTGAGGAAAGTTAATTGAATACTTAGTAAAGAGCTAAAGATCAGAATGTGACAGGCTGAGGTTAAAGATTCACCTCTGTCTGGCATCCCCACACCTATCCCCCAATCCTCTTTGCAAACTGCTCCCATGGAGTGAATGCCCTGTAAAGTAGCTTCACTTAAAAGGTGAAATACTTTCAGCTTGACATCATCTACAAATACCATAATATGCTTTGGGTTTATAACCTAATATTTTCCTGGTTGTGAGCCAGTATCTGGGAATCGTGAAATACTTTTTTTCCCCTGACTATATATTAGAGGAATGATAAGAAATCAGAACAGAGCTTAACACATATTTGTCTTTCCTTCTTAGTGCCTCAAAAGAATGCTTTACGAAGAAGAAACATCTTTATCACTCACCTAGATGCATCAAGGCTTCTTTGTCCCAGGGCCAAGTTGCCACTCCAGCCAGCTCCTCCTCAGAGGAATTGGCAAAGAAGATGTTGAGGTGTGTGGATCCATCCAGTTTGAGTATGTTCTTTAGTTCATTGACATCTAAGTATGCCCTGTAGAAAAAGAAAAGCACTTTTTTTCCTAAAGGTGACACAAAAGCAACAAAATATTGAAGAAGTGCTGCAATCCAGGCAAAGATCTTATAATATCCTGCGTATCAATCACCTGAAATGTTTTAATAACCCCCTTCCAAACTTCGACTATTTTGCATTCATATAGTGAATCTCATTTAACACTTCAGGCCATTGATTAACTAAGGCCACAAAATCCAAGGTAAATACATAAAGCTGTCCACATTCTCAAGATAAGTCTAGGAATCTATTTATTATGAATGTAATTAACCAAGTATTATGGTCACTAAATCTTTTTACACCAGCAGTTACCTTGCACATTTCCTCTAAGCTGTTTGTTATTGTTACCTCTAATTTTCCTTCACAATAACAAGTTTCCAATCCCCTGGCTGACACAAAAACTAACTGCTTTAGCACCAGTGGCAGTCACTTGTGCCGAGATGGACATGGTCTAACCCTGACATCCCAGGGATGGTTGGGAATTGCTATTTCCAGCCAGCACAGTTGTGCCAAGAGGATTCCTGGCCAGAGGAATGGGACTGTACCACGACATAAAGGTCCCCCCAAGGTGAGTAGCATTTCTTCTTTGCTTTTGGGATGCCTGGAGGTTACAGAGCAATCTGCTTGCAGGCAAACAAAGCAAATCCCTTAATCTTGATGCCTGTTGGAAGCACTTTTTTCACTCCTTTAAAGGAGTAGACTTTGTCAATACTGGAACACAGGAGCTACTTGCTGATGCACAGGCCATGCTGTGACACTGCTTTCAGCAGCACCACGATGGCCCAACTCACAGCAAAGCTGGAGAAAGCAAAATGTAAGAGTAAACCCAATGGTTCTGTGTTTCTAGCTCACACTGCCTTTTGATATGAAGTGCTGTGATAGCAGAAAAGCTAAAAGAGGGTTACCTTGTTCTATGTTCAGGTGGAAACAACAGAAAGAATTCCCGCTGAGCCAAACACAGATGACCAGCTCATAAGGAAAGGACACACAATGGCATTGAGCAGGTTGGTTCCTGCTTCCCCAAGTCCCCCTTTCTGTCTGTGTGTGGTGTGTATAGGGCTCACGTAGCTCTCACAAGCCACACACACTCACAAGCACCAAGCAGGGTTCCCTGCATACTTTGCAAGGCTTTTGTTCCCAGAAGGGTGAAGAAAAAATAGGGGAGTTGGCTCAGCACCAAGATCTTTCTGTCCTTCCCTGGAGGACTCCCCAATGGAAAACACATTCATATTTCCACAATAGCTTCCCTTGCCACTTGCTGAAGTCATTGCCTCCAAAATAGATCATGGCTGGGTGTCCCCAGGCCCTCGCTGACTCATGGAGGAAGACGTGCTCTTTGGGGACACCAGTGGAAGGGGATGTTTCCATTCCATACAATGTTTATCTTACAAGCCAATGCGGGTGACATTCTGAAGGACAGGTCAGCACTGTGACCCTTTACACATTTCTCATCTCTTCAATGTTCCCAACACATCTATGGAAGACACACAGACCTTCCCCTCAGCTCCTCAAGCATGTCCTGCATGGATCTGCACAATGCCCTGAAACTCTGCACCATCTGCTTCCAGGACCTTCTTGGTGCCTTTGAAAACATCTTCACCAAACATGGGCTCATACTTACACACATCCACGAGCAATAGTTTGAAATTATGTGGGAGAGCATCTCCAGATGTCAAAGTAAGGGCGCTGGGGGAATCCATAACAGGGGGTGCATGCATGGGAAGGCGACAGTGGGTACACCTGCACCCGTGGCAGCATCAGTGAAAGACAGGGACCAAAAGCATAAGAGAGGATGTGGGAGTGATGTGGGAAGAGGGAGAAGTGCAGAAACAGAAGCACTGAGTGTGTCTGAGTAGAACAACGTTTGTGTGTTTGTATCTCAGTGGGAAGGAAAGTCCTGCTGCCCGCGCTGAGACGGCGGCTGTTGACTCTGGATGCAGATGCTTTATGTGTATGCACAAATCCCTGTAGGAGTAACTATAACCCAACTCCCCTCCTGAGATTACCATTTTTATCCTCACTCATTCAAATAATCTAAACTAATATTTCTTTATTCTCAGCTGTCTCTTTGCTTATCGTTTACACAATCCTATCCCCATTTATCTCAGGGCACAGTCACAATGACTCTCCCGCTTGCATACAGCCCGTGTGCTTCAACACCTAGGACTGTTTTATACATGGATTATTACAGCAGAAAACATCCAGAGCAGACAGCATTTAACTCATTAGCCACTGATGTAAATGCTTCATTGAGACTGGACTCAAGCCTTATGTAAATCCAATGTACTAAGTCCTGGATTTGGGTTTATAGCATTTCTCTGACCACTACTTCTCAGCCAGTCAGGGGAAGGCTGTGAGTGAGCAGAATATATTCAAGGGGTGGAAGAACAGAATACTAAGAGGATTTTTAGCAAAGGATCCGCACGGGAGTAGGTGTAAATAGATCATGTTTGGAAGGAAGCAAATGCAAACCCCTTCGTAAAAGCAGTCAGCAACCCCTAACATGTAAACATGCTCAAGCCCTTAGCTCAGGCAAATCCCTTGTAAGTGTGTGAACATGTGCCTGCACGTACAGGAACTGAGGTGTGAGTGTGTAAGTGAGGACTTGGATTGTGCACACGCAGGAGGCAGCCAAGAGCATGTAAGGAACCAGCGTGCGTGTGTGTAAGATAAAAACACGAGCTGGAATTCCATCCTCTCCTTCCTCCCCATGTTTCTAATAACCTCCCATCCCTATCCATCATCGCCACATTCCTACACTCAAGGAGGTATAAATTAACTACTTTTGCAGTTCATGTCCAACTCTGTAGCCGCAGGCAGCAGACCCAACAGTTACCAGGTCAAAATAGTTTTCAGTTATTGCTTTGGACTGGGCTGACTCCCCCCTGCTGCCTCGGCTGCTTTGTTATCAGCCCAGACTATCTGACCCAACGCAATCTGTGAGCGCTGCTTACACTTCTCAAGGTTATGTGGGTCCCCTGATAGAGGACATAATGTCTGTCACATGGGCTCGTGCCAAAGGGAGCCAAGGAGCCCAGCCTTTCCAGCACTGCCAAACTCGCATTTCAAAGACATGAGTGCAGTCTTGGAAAGGGATCAAAGCCCTTCCAACTGTCATTAGAATATTTCCTTTATGCATCTCCCCGTGAGTGCCAGCAACATATTTCATAAAATTCATTGGCTTGAGATGGTACCTCCAATATAAACCTGAATGGGGGAACTGTCAGGGCAAGTCTATGTGGAAAACAAAACAAAACCCAAAGCACAACAAAACACGTGTAATTCCTGTAATGGAAAAAACATACGATGCTGTGAGCGTGCCTTGCTCCAGAAAGCCTAATGAGCCTATTAGTGCATCATAAAAGGTCTCCTTTGCTGGAATCTGTTTTAGACATAGAAATTCTATGGGCTGTTTAAGGCCATTTGGGACACCAAATCATATCAGGGAATGTGCACATTCCCACACAGATCTTTTCATCGACTTATTTGTAGCTTTGGTTTGCTTTTTTTCCTCCACTGCAGTGTAAATAGCCCTCTGAAACTGTTCTGTGCAGCAGCTCACTCTTATCCAGCAAGCCCCAGCCCTCAATCAGTGATTGTGTCCCACACAGTGCTCCAGTTTCAGTCTAATGGAGTCCTTAGCTCATCCAGCAGCATCTCTCTGTGGCCCTACCCACCCCATCAGTCACACCAGTCATTATCCTTGTGCCTGGCTCATCTGTCAAACCCATTTCCTGTCCATCTGGGATGTGACTGGTCCCCAGGCAATGAGGTGAAGCCCGTGGCCACCAGCTCCACCTGCCCATGGGGGCCACTGTGAGGAGCTCCCTTTGCTGCACCTCAGCTCCAAAGCCAAACCCGGCCACCAATCTCTGCTCTGAGCTACAAACACATTTGGCAATGGCTTTTAAACTCAGTTCTAATCATAATAAATCTGGCCTTGGTGAATAGAGCCGAGTAGTTTTGTTACTGAGTTGAAAACTCTTCCTCCTTCTTTTCTTTGAGGTCAGAGAGTGGCTTCCCATCTTTCCCTGATGTGACTGGGGTGCAACCTCCTGCACTAGTGGTTGTTTTTGCAAGGAACACAGAGCCTTCCAGCCCCTATTGTTAGGAAACAGTTTTCTACTGTTTCTACTGTTGCTCTGAGTTATTCTCTATTTGACTTTGTTTCGTTTTTTTTTCTTTCAAAGACAAGTATCCCTTTACAGCAAGAAAACAAACAGGGTACTTAAGGGATTATTTGCAAGACCCCACCTAAATACAGAATAGGAACTTTGCTATCTGCTCATTATGCTGTATGATCTCCAACTGCCTGATGAGTCTGTTAGGAATAGAAGGCACTACATTTCATCCTTAAAAAACCCCAAACAACAACAACCAAACCCAAGAGCATCTCCTGAATTGGGAAGTCAGCCTCAAAATGTCTCCATTTTCAATGCTGACACACAATGTCCTACCCTTTACCTAGCGTGTTAAGCATATGGCAGGACAGAGTAAATCTGCTGGAATCATAGGGATTCAGTGCATCACTCTTCTTCCCAAGACTCCTTGTTTCTGCTCTCACAAGAGCTGTCAGACCAGCCTAAACCACAGTGCAATCTAGCAGACAAGCAGAAAGTTTTTTGGGACAGCCTTGAAACACTTTGCCAGCAACCTGTGACAAATCCAGGTGTGATTCCCAACATGGTGTGGCTGCAGGTTTAGGTGTTCTTCCCTTTGCCCCTCCAGCTCTCATCCTGGACCCCAGGATTGACACTAATTCCTTAGAGGAGCAAAGAGCACAGCAGTCAGTGTGTGGACAGGCACCCACCAAGTGTCTGTCCTGGTTGTCCCAGCAACATAGAGGGCCCAAGATTTTAGGGTGCAGTGTCCACACAGAGATTTTCAGTGTCTGCAGTGAACAGCAAGAATGGCTCTGAGATAAATTATGTTTTTCCTGAAGATAATGGCAAGAGCCACGACTGCAGCAGCACTGAAAGCTG